ACCACGCGCCCTGGGTTGGTCCTTGTGCGTGTCAAGTGGAGGCTGCAGAGCCTGCAGCGGCGGCGGCGCTGTGCTCGTTGAGATATTGCCTTGCTCTTCGCTGGGTCTTGACGCTGGTTCTGGTGTTAGAGACGGGGTCCGCTGCTGACGTGGCTCGATGTTCTTATCAGGGATGAGGAGATCGCTGCCAGACTCAGCAGCCTGCGCCTTGGGTTTGTGTTCTTGAGTATCAAGTGGAGGCTGCGAGGCCTGCAGCAGCGTTGAAGCCGTGTCGGTGGAATGCTCCTTGCTGGTGTTCATACTGGTGCTCATGACTGCTGTGGTGTGTTGAGCGTCCAGTGCCTTCGCCAAAGATCTTTTATATTCTCTGGACGGTGGGCACTAAAAAGGTCCTGTGCAAGTTTATCGTTCGAGGGCCCATAATAGAGACATACCGGTCCCGCCCTGCCGCTAAATGGGACCAGATAGCGATATAACTCTAGAATAGAGACTGGGGACTTCTTTAACTATAAATATATATACTTCTATATATACTCTTACTCTATACATAGAGCATCTATGCAGGCCTGGTAGTGGTCAAAAACAAATGGATCATAAGGCCCAAGCGGCTGCCGTCCAAGAGAAACTGGCTTGCCTCCCAGCATCTATCAGCAACCCCAGCTCCTCAGCGGCTTGCTCTCAAGTACTGCTATATTGAGGAGATGGCTCGGCCTGGAACTGCTCATTAAGAAGCTGCGAAGACAGCAGGTGTTCTACTTAGCACAGCTGGTGTTTAGATAGGGATTATATGGTGTATCTTGGAGTAATCGCTACTACCCTCTGCCGGAGCGTCTCATCAATGTAATACCCATCTGCGGCATGTGTGAAGAAGCGTAGAGCTCACTGGTCGGCGTGGCTATGTGCAAAGGCGATGTGGAGGAATTCCTCAAAAGTTCGAGATGAGTGGCTCAATCTGTTGATTCGCTCAGACATCCACACCGTCTTTGACCAGAAACGGTTCGCAATTATCCCAAAATCGAGTGCTTTCTTGGTGCACATCGTTGCTCTCGGGTCCTCGATGCAATTAGCAAACCTATATCACAATGTTGCGCTTCAACAACTCGTGGGCGTCGCTGTGCAATATCTTTTCGCACGTTTCGCGTGGACTGTATTTGCTCAACTTTCCAACTTTCTCCAGCAAGGCCTCAAGCGGACGCTCTGTACTTACGCTGAGGACGGGGAGATTCGTGTTGCTGAGTTCTCCGGTGATCAATGCAAACAGATCTTCGGTGGCAAATCACGTAGCCAAAGCCCGCGGAAACGACAACGTGATGTACCTATTATTCCGGCAGTATCAGAATATGATACATGGAAGCATCCAAGCTGCAGACGCACTTCATCATGCGATGGTACGCCAGGACGTAAGAGAGTACGATGTTCCAGTTCCTCTTCACGGCATTCCTCTATCTACAGTGAATTCTGGGGTCATTCTGACCATTCTGGCTCAGATCAGGACTTTGGTGAAGATAGTTTCAACACCGAACAAGAAGATCCGGAGACAGTCGATAAGCCTCAAGTTGATTCCTCGTCTACATCAACCCGTCTCTCAACAGATAACTTACTTCAATCAAATATGAGACTCAGGAGCTTCGGACATATCCTCCAAAAAACATCTCGCGTCAAACGTCAATCATGTAATAGACGGTCCTTGTGCATAGGAAATCTCCGTGCAAGTATTCATTGGCATTTAAATTTCACCGCTCAAGTATGGACTGCAACACCTTCACTGCTTACTTCATTATCGCCATTCTTGGCACCCTCGTTGGGAATTACCTCTTGTACTTCGACTTCCAAGCACGGAAGGAATAGTTTTTTGGATACTTTTCTCCCTTCGACTTGTCCTGTGGACGTTGGGCTATTTCTGCGTAGTTCTTGCGCTGTTATTTGTCATTGCCGGCTGCGTTGGCCACTGGACGACTCGATCATCGTTCTGGGAGGAATGGACACTGTCATCTTTTGAATGCTCATTGCTTGCAATCTCTTTCCTTAACGTATGTAAAGTATCCTTATGTGTACGACCTCCTAACGATAGCCCAGTCAAAACGTAGCGTCCGCAACTACAATACGCTTCAGGATTCAAAGCTTCGCCTCGGTCCTCACCTATTCCTTATCAGCATCTTCTTGGTTATCGCGTTTTCCCCGCTGAGAAATCGATATTCCAATTTGCATGACATTGTTGTCGCAATCGTTTACATCATTCGCGTCTTTGCGCAGATGCAGCCAATAGAGTAATTGGCACAGCGAACTCGGCTAACTGTGATGTGGATGTGAGTAGAGCAAACACGTTAGCCAAGTGTTGGCCAAGGTCACTGGGTACCGGACGAGTAGCCCGCGACGCGATAACGCAATCGAGCGGCTCTGCGGACGACTCAGCAAAGTGGGCGACGGCAGAGTTCAGGAGAGTGGAGAAGTGTCTCGCCGAGTATAGGCATCCGCGATCGGCACGCTGAAGAGCAGTTGCACGCGACTGCTCCTGCAGGAGCTCCTTCAGGCGCCGGAAGCGAGCTTGAGGTGAGATTGTACCACGTGGTAGAAGCGCGACGAATTCGAGGTTGGATATACACTTGTGGATG